GACGTGTCGGAAAGATGGGGGAAGTTAAAAGAGGACAATGACTAAGACTGAACGCGGAAACGTCGGTGCCGATCTTGGTCGTCGGCCATCCTGGTCATCGTCCCTTCGTGTTATCATCCTCGCGCCTCGGCGACGGCCAGCATTGACCATGACCAAGATCGGCGCCCACGAGATCCCGCGACATCGTGGTCACGGTCATCGTCGTTCTCCTCCTGACCGGGTACACGTCGTTCATTTCTAATCGTGCTCATTTCTAAGTGTGCTCGTTTCTAAGTGTTCCTGGCCCCCTAGTGGCCAGGAAGGGGCCCAGGATAGCACAATTAGAAATGAAAGGATCTTGGCCCCCCAAAAATTCAAATAACTTTCGAATAATTAGAAATGAACAGCGTGTATACGACAACAGAGGCATGGACTCCGAATGACCCGAAGAGGGCGCCTGCAGCCCGCTCCAAAGATCAGGGGACCCGGAGCAGCAGAGGCCGCTGGCGCGTGCTCCAGCGCGCGCGTGGGCGCCCCCCGAGACCCGACGCAGCGAACAAAGATCGGCACCGCAGAAGCTCACGCCTGGCGCCCCAGACCCCATCCTGCTGCGTCCTGCTTCGAGCCGGATCGATCTGTGAGTGTCCGCCCGTGGCGAAACAACTGCAGCGCCCGCCAGGAAAAAGGAGCGAGAACGAGCGGGGACAAAAGGAGCGGCACCGCCCGTGGCGAACAAACTGCAACGCCAGGATCTCAGGGTCTGGAGGCTGCTCCATGACTTTGTTATCCCTCGGCTCCACATTTATGCTGCTCCCATCGTGCTTAAGGACCACATCCCAGAAAGAATCTCGAGCTCCCAGAAAAGTGTCGAAAGAGTGTCGACAGAGGGTCGAAACAGTGTCTCCCAGGGCCCGACGCGTGAAAACCCTCGAGTTTCGGGGTGCGCTCGAAACTCCTTCTGGCGATCGAGGCTAAAAGTAGGATGGAACATCCGAATTCCAGGGCCGGGGGGCCGAGTTCGGCCCCGCGCAGGAAGACGAGGAGGAGGAGGAGGAGGAGGAGGAGGAGAAGGAGGACGATGAGGAGGAGGAGGAGGAGGAGGAGGAGGAGGAGGAGGAGGAGGAGGAGGAGGAGGAGGAGGAGGAGGAGGAGGAGGGGCGCAGGGCCAGACGCCTGAAGCTATCTCACCCACCACGCTCGGCGAAGCTCGCCCCGCGCGCTCCCGCGCGGACCGCCCGTCTGCGGCCCGCACTGCGGAGGGCGGCGGCCTTCCCGCCCCGTGTGTCCGCCTCCAGACACCCTGGAGCCAAGACACAGTGACGTCCCTTTGGGTTGTGCGTGGCTTTGGAGGGCCACATCCACCCCCAGAAAAATTGCACCCCGCCGCGCGAGGGCGTCTAGTAGACGCACCCAGGGGGAGGCATCCAACAGGGCAGGGCCTTTAGCAAACGCCCAGGGCCGTGTAGTAAACGCCAGTTGTCTGGTCCGGGGTGACTTTTCCTCCCTTGTGTTGACAAGCGGTCCCACCCTTGAGCCCCAAACAGCGGCAGGCACGCGGCGAGCGCGCGCGAGGGTGAGACACGAGGAGGGGCACCAGGGAGTCGAACTGTGCTTCACCTCCATGAATGCGAGTTGTTCCTCCCTTTGTGGTTTGCTTCCCCCGCGTCTCCACGCCCTTCCGCCGAGGACGAGGCATCGACCTCTCGCCCCTCGACGGGGAGGCTCACTCCTGGCGCGCCGCACGTGGGGGTGACCCAGATCACTACCAGGGCCCGCAGCGAGCTTCCACTTCGCTTGGAAAGAGAATGACCACGGGGGAAGGCAGGGCTTGGAAACTGGCAAGGGGGTGAGGCCGAACGGCTTCGCAAGGGCCAGGCCACCACCCCTTCGGACGCCGTCGCCCATGCACCGGCGCGGTCGCCCGACTGAGGGCCCTGCGCTCGCCCCAGGAGCGTCAGGTCGGGCGTGTCCTCTTACGGGCGGACCCTGGAAGAAAAACAGAGCGTTGCCGAAGAAGTATTCGAAAATAGTCCAGGGAACACGAAACATCGCCCCTCCTGTAGAGGGACGCGCCCGACTTAACCAGTAGAGTGCTCCACGAGCGCGCGGTTCTGCCCTCTGCTCCGAGGTGCTGCCTCGTCTTCGCCGACCCCGCGGCTGCGCGCGTCGCCGCTGCATCAGGCGGCGGGGGCTGCGAGCAGAACAAGCTGGCAGAACTGCTGTTTTTTTTTAGGGGGGGCGCGGGTGCACCTCCGCCGCTCTTCGGGGGAGCACCGCAGCCTTGGGCGCACAAGACACGGCCTTCGCGCGGCGGCGGACGAGCGCCAGCCGCGCGTCGCCGGCAATGACCGCCGTGCCCGCGAAGCGGCGCACGGCGCACACAGCGGGGCGCGCCGCTCGTATTCCCGCCCTTTGCACCTGCGCGCAACGGCGAGGCTCGCGCGGTCCGCGGCCCGCGCCGCGCTGCGCCGTGCCGGGCGCACCCAGTGGCGCAATCCTGTGCAGCGACACGGCGGGGCGCGACGCGCCACGGCAGTCGTGACCACGTCCTTCGCACCTGCGCAGCGGCACGGTTCGCGCGCCCCCCGCCGCACTGCGCCGTGCCCAGCACCCCCGAGCGGCGCATGCCTGCGCACCGGGCGAGGCGCGCACACAAAGCGAGGGTAAGCTACCTGCGACGCCGCGCTGCGCCTCGCCCGTCACACCCAGATCGCGCGCTCGAGCCAGCCTCGGCGCGGCGCGGCGCGGTGGGGGGAGTGCCGCCGACGCAGGCTTGGCCACCTGCTCCCCGCGGCGGCGCCCAGCGCGCACCTGTGCCCACCCCCAAGGAGGTATGGCCGGCGGGCCTACCCGAAACCCGATCCCCGCGAGAAGAGGCAGCCAACAGACATGCCAGGACAAGAGCATCGACAGGAATGGCGTAGGCATGCCCCTCCAGAAGGGAGAAGAGGGAAGATGGAAGAGGGAACGCTCTAAGCCAGCAACGCTCTAAAGGGCTGGTGGGACCAACAGCGTTTTCTGCCATATGCGCCATGCTCCTTCTCCTCCTCCTCCTGCTCCCCCTCCTCCTCTTCCTCCTCCTCCTCCTCCTCCTCCTCCTCCTTCTCTTCCTCCTCCTCATCTTCCTCCTCCTCCTTCTCCTCATCCTCCTCCTCCTCCTCCTTGGGCCTGCCCTGCCGCCCTCCCCCCATGCTCTGCATCACCTCTGGGTGCCCGCTGAGTTCTGCCGACGTCCACTCGGGTGAGGCGCCCTAAGAGATCGTGTGGCCGTTTCGCCCTGCAGGTGCTGGGCCATTCTGCCGCAAGCCCATGTCCTTCCCTTCGAGAGAGCATTCCTTTTCTCTTCCTCCTTCTCCTCGCCGTCTTCCTCAACCTCTTCCTCCTCTGGCCCCTCGTCATCATACTACCCCCTCTCCTCTTCCTGTTACTCCTGCCAAGGAAATCAAGCATCTCGTGCTGCAAACTTAGCAGACAATCCTTCCCAACGCAGGCGCCTGTGCTCCGAGGTATAAGCGCCATCAGCACCACTCCTGAGGAGCAGGAACAAACATAGATGAGCATAGCAGTCCCGTCGAAAAAGCTGTTTTCAGCCACTTCGAGACCTACATATATATACACATATATATATATATGTATATATATGCATGTGTGTAAGGGTATCTATATATATAGAGAGAGACAGACAGACAGACAGAGAGACCGACAGAGCGAGGGAGGGAGAGAACGAGAGACAGAGAGAGAAAGAGAGACAACACAAAAAACTTAGCCTGGCGAAAGACCCAACCATAAGCAGTGATACGCACCGCAGTTGTAAGTACCATCTTCGGTGGATCCTCGCATGCGGCCGCGAAACGTGTGAGGGGTGTGCCCAAGTGGCCCGTCGGGGGCAGGCGGCCTTTCCCACTGGTGCTTTCGGTGGAGATCCCTTTGGTGTCACGAAGCGTGTGACGGGTGTGCCGAGATTGCGAGGTGGCAGCGTGCGGACCCCGCCGCTGGGGCCTTCGGTGGAGCTTCCTACGGGGCTACGAAACTGTGAGGGGTGCGCCGAAATGGCGAGGTGGCGGCACGCGGGCCCTGCCACTGCGGCCTTCGGTGGAGCTACCTAGTGGGTCACGAAGCGTGTGAAGGGGTGCGCCGAATTGGCAGAGTCAGGGATGGGAGGAGGGAGGAGGGGGAGGAGGAAGAAAGAACGCGGGGCGCTTCAAAACGAGGACCCAACACCACAGGATGGTTGGGAGAGAGAGAGAGAGAGATAACAAAAGAAGAAGAAGAAGAAGAAGAAGACGAAGAATAAGAGACATTCCTCTTCCTATGTTGTGGCAATTTCGGGCGGGGGCGAAAACCCGTCGCCTCCCCCCAAAGCCCGGAAGCCCGGGATTCAGGATTTTTTTCTAGCAAAGCAACTCATTGAATGGCATATCGTGGAATGCGTGACGATGCGAATTGACGCGCTGCACGACGCCTACGAATATGTAAAAACGATCCTTTCAAACAGTTGGCAGGTCAGAGTTGCGTTGAGAAGGAGGAAGAGAAAAGCGCATAGAAGGATGACAAGTGGGAGGAGGCAGGGAAGAACTAGGGCACCAGAAGCCGAACAGCAAATGTGCTGGATAGTCTACTTGACTCCAGAGGATGGAATTGCTAACGCGCCCAACTGTTTTGATGGCAACGTGCCTTGGCGCGAACTGCCATGTGAGACGACGTCGCACATGTTGCGACAAGCATTCTCCAGTATGATGAGTCGGCCAACCTCACGGGCTTCTGGCCACAGAAAGGCCTTCTCTCAACCAGAAGAACGCAGCCCCCCCCCCCCCCGTGACGGCGAGGTCGGAGACAGACACCGCCGGCAACATGCATACACAAGAGGTGCCACGCGGCCCTACTTCAAACATGCACCTGTCGCACTGAAGACATCATGCTCAGCAGCTGCAGCCTCTGGGTCCTGGAAATGCCGTGTAGGTTGGAACGAGAAAAGGCTTGTTGCACTCACTGGAGCATTCATCTGAATTGCGCACGACTAACACTTCCTAAATGCCAGCAGTGACTGAAGTAGAGCGGCGCCTGGGTCATGAAGATGTAGCTGAAACACATTTCATCAACAAGGCTGATCCCATTATGTGCCCACCTTGCGCGTTGGGAAGAGTCGCATACACAAGTACCTAATCTTCAAAGCATCTCCCCGAGACACAACGACTTCGCTGGGCAACAGCTTCATATCTTGCTCTGACATGCTATAGTTCGGGAACTCGCCAAAAGGCGTGGAGCTGCCATTCGCATGAAGGACCTCCGATTTTACAGCAATGCCTGCAAGATGCATGTGTTGCTGCACTGCAATGATTGTGAACTCTGTCGCTGCATTCTCCTCCATGGCGTCCCTCAAGCAGTCCGGCGCACATATTGACTGCACAGCATGGCGCGCTTGTCTTGGGGTATGAAAACGTCATGAACATCTGGGCCGATCTGGGGCCCAGCTCGAAGAGGCGCACAGGCTGGTGATCTCTGTCCAAATTGATACGGACACCAATGCTGTCAAGGGGAGTGTCGGACACTTTGGCCTCAGCCCTCTTGTAATTCACTTGCAACAAAGCGAATTTCGCTGGCAAGGGGAAGGCAACGCCGCGGGGCAAAGCGAACTCAGCCGCTCCATTGCTGAACGCGTGTGCCATACGGCTGCATCCGTCCCAAAAGGGCGAGTGAGTACACGGAAAGGACTCTTGAAAATCTTCGGGTGATTTGAAAGAGGGGTCACAGCTGAGAAGGGCTACGTGGTGAATGCGGTTACACGTTTGCTTATCTTTGACAACGGAGAAGGATACGATGCCAGCGCCATCTTCCAATCCGTCAAACTTGAAACCACGACACATATAGACATCCTTCTCTCCATCAAGCAACTCGCGCCGTGGTGCTGCAGCAGCATCTCGGTGACCCGTGGCTGCGTCCGCTAAACGCAAACCTCGGTCGTAGTGAGCAGATCTTCTGACTCTTCAAAAGTTCGCCCGGCTGACGGCACCTCACAGGCCCCTCAAACGGTTTGGCAAAGCGCGAGCTTTGTCGGGCGATGCCGGTGTACAGCGCCTCTTGAAGATGGCGTACCAAATACTTACCCCCTGGGCCGAAATTCGCGTGAAAATTGTAGTCGCCCATCTTTTTCTCGAAGCCTGGCCCACTCTGGTCGCAGATTTTTCCTTTCCCACGAACCTTCTCCGCCACTCGCTCGTCAAATTTTGGGCAAACCAACTTATGAGAATGTACAATGGAAACCAGTACACGGTGCCCTGCATGAGTGGAGCTTGGACAACGAATTGTGCCCACTACCTTCTGCAATACATTTCTCTGCAGCGTTGCGCCCGCATGCTCCTGTGTAAATTTCTTGAATTTGAGACACGGTGAAGACATGGACAGAAAAATATGGCGTGCGACATTCAACGCAACATGGATGATCATTATCTGCAATGCTTCCTGCAATGGAAGTTCCATCACCCAGAGCCCTACTTGTCGCTGCGGGTGATTCAGGGGGGCAGTCTCCCATCCCCGATAGTAGTTGCTATCAATCACAAACACATAAGGCGCCTGCTCCCACACACTGACATCACGCGTCGTGTGTATGACTTCACTCTTGAAAATGTTGGCTTCATGCACTTAATACAACGCTCCGTGCCAAATCCCTGGATTATACACCCTCCGGGCTCTCTGTGATTGACTACCTTGGGTCCCCAAGGGTCGGCGTACCTCGCAGGACAACGATGTTCATCATCGTCGTGAATCATTTGCATAAGGGGCGCCAGGCCATAGGACTGGCTATCACCTAGAAGCATCAGACGCGTTGGCACATCAAAGCCAGCACTGGTTAACCCCGACCCGTTCAAGGGCGCATTGTCGCTAGGAGCACCTGGGAGTTCGACAAACGCAGAAGTTGGTTCCATGCTGGCCGAACGCTGCACCAATGATTTCTCAAATAACCAGAATGACGCTGTGGAAAGTATGATTGAGGCGAAGCCTATCGCAACGTCGCGCCCCATCATGCCCGCCTGTCGTCCTTGCCACGTCGTCATTGAATGCACGGTGTTGATTTCTGAATCACCACACCAGACTATGAGAGCCCAGTGGATGAGGTATAAGCCATCGGATACGATACCGAAGTAGACTAACAAACGACTGCTCGTGAGTTTGGTGAAAATGGCCCACGGCGGCAACGGTTCACTAGTCTGCAACAACTGAATACCGCAACCGAATGCCACCACCAAGGTCAGCGGAAGCCTGAGCCAATGGACGTAGTGCCGCATTAGAACATCTTGATGCACAGGTATCATGCCACATCCCAGAATGAACACAATAGTGACAGCGGGTGCAACTTCCAACGTGATGCGGAGGGACGTGCTCATCGGAGGGCGGTCTGGTGAGAGCGAGATTAGTGCGTAGCTCCACGGCGAGAAGTGCAAGCAGCAAGCAACCAAGCCGCCGACGGCAAATTCAGCCGCGCGTGCCCAATTCGCGAAATATGCAGCATATCCACCTGAGTCTGGTAGACATAGATGCATATGTATTGCGAGCACAAAATCGCCACAACTTCAAAGAAAGCTAACAGCTTGAGCAACAGCTGCATTTGAGGTCTGAACATAGGCGAGCACATTTCCGAGCCCAGACCAGACACATTGCTCTCACGCAACGTGCTGGCGGTCTTAAAGGCAGCCAAACGCTGAATCGCTAGGAACACAATGGACCACATAATGTAGTACTGGTCCTCCATCGAAAGACCCCACGCATGCCCTGCCACCGACGCCTTCTTGGTGTCAGCAGCATAATTCTGCGCCTGGGAAATCAGGTTCCAATTCCGACCATAAGCAAGTGACCACAACAAATCTTCACGAAGGTAATATAGTGCAACCGGTTCAGGTTCCCCTGTGATGGCCCTCTCCACCAAGGTCTTGCACGAGATGCCCGCGACTACAAGCATCAAAACTGAGATCAGCCTCGCCACACGCCACTTCCAGAAAACCAGAACGCTACATTCGCAATGCTTGGCTTGCGCGCTTAAAGCAATCGAGGTTATAAGAAGCCCTGAAAGCGCAAAGAACAACCCGATGCAGACCCAAACACTGTGTACACCCAACCGGAGATGATATGCCACAACCAACAAACAGCCCAACCCGCAGAGTCCATCCACTGTGTCGTATCTGTTTCCGATCGTCATGCGGGGTTGATATCCGTTTGTTGCTGAATTGCCCGGATGGGACGCGTTCGTCAATGTCGTTGTTTCCCCAACTCTCCCAGATGCTTCCTCAGTCGCTTTACGTGGTTCAACAGGTGCGTCGCCTCCACCTTTTCCCTAGGACGTGTGCGTCAACACTTTCAGATGCAACATGTCTCGTCGACATGATGAAAGTAACAAATCGTGTTGAACCAAACGTTCAACACTTTTCGTTCGGCGACAGTCTGCCAGATTTCAGACACTGCTGCTCTTGCGGTTGTCGAAACCGTACCTCCAACAAGATGGCTTGAGCCAAAGTACCTTGAGCGAGAATGGCTACGGATCCCCCGGGATTCAGGAGTTTGGGGCCCCCTGGACGTTCTCGGAAAAAGGTCCACTGGCCGTTTCAGGCCTCCAAGGGCGCCTTGCCTGGCCTTGCCAGCAGACCCAGAAAGCCCCAAGACATCACAAAAGTACTCGAAAAGTGGCCTAGGTGGCCTCCGAGGTACTCCAAGAGGCCCTCAAGAGAACCCCCCTAGAGGCATAAAATCTCTGCGCTCCCTCAGAAAATCGTGAATTTCGGCATATTCGTGACTTTTACCTCGCAGCGTCCACGACGCCCCAAGAGCCTTCCGAAATTGCTCCAAGACGGCACCAGAAGCCGTCAAGAGAGTTCCAACACGACCAAAGAGGGCCCCAAAACAGCCCCGAGACGACCCTAAGGGAGCCCAAGAGGCCCCCCAAAAGCTTCCAAGGGAGGCCCAAGAGGACCATGGGAGGCCCCTAAGTCAGTCCAGGACGGCACAGACGGCCCCAAGATGGCTTCAGGATGGCTCCCAGGGGCCCGAAAACGGTTCCAAAAGGACCCCTAAGAAGGCCTGGTCGCGAAAGGCCCGAGAGTCCACAGGCCCCGGCGCGACAGGCTCGAGTGAGCCCACACAGGCCTTCAACACGCGCCCAAGAGGCCTCCAGAAGTCCCGAAAGTCACTGTGAGACAGTTGTGCAAGCAGAAAGTGATTACTTCCCGCGTCGTTGCTGCCTCTCCGCATTTCGGAATAATCGTCCCACAAGAGGGTTTCGCGACGTCATTCACATTGCGTCCCGTTGCATTGCCGGGCAACCTAGACCACAAGCGAGCCCATGTGATAGCCACGCGATGGTCCCCGAACGTCCTGATTTAGCACGTCTGTGCATCTTCCAATAGGCGTTCTCCCACTAATGCCACGAATACTTCAAACTAACCCGAAGCCCGGGTTCGCAACAAAATTCCCCGCAAATCAGTCGCGACCCCGCGATTCGGTGCATACCCCAAGAATGCCGTGCTTCCGCGCGCCCCGTTGCGACCCGCTGCCATTTCTTGGTTGCAGAGCGATGCTCGGCTCAACGTTGCCGTTCGCTGACTACGTGGCTATGGCATCCCTGCGTTGGCAGTGTGTAGCTTCCTGCGGCGTTGCTTGACATTGCGTTGTCTTGTTCGGCCTTCATTCGTACTGCTTCCCTTCGCTTCTCATGGGCCAACGTCCGGGGCGCAAGCGGCCACCAGGGGCTACCAACTACCGCTATGTTTGGTCACACAGATATCCCCCACACTCCGCCTGCATGCCGCACTTGAACTTCAAGTGCGGCATGCAGGGCCCCGAGAGGGCCCTGAGAGGGCCCTCGAAGGGCCTCGCCGGAAAGCGTCTGCGAAGTACAGCTCAAGCCACACGTGCTTTGTACGCGATAGCATGCGCAACGTGCAGAATGAATGCCTCGCATTCTGTGTCAACACGCCCTACGGGGTGCGGGGAAACCACCGCGCGGCAGGGCGCGCCTGCGCACTTAAACCATGAAAAAACTCAACTTCGTCTGGAATGGATTTCGGCGCGCGCCCCTTTTCGTCTCCAAAGAAAGGGCCACTACGATTGAAGGACCAAGGTGCATGGCGCGAAGCGCCAATTCAGTCTTGTATACTTCTTACTGTTGGGGGAGAGGAGAGCAGAAAGAGCGCGACCACAAAGCTTCACCTGACTCGGCCTTGACCGCTAACCTCTTCGAAAAATATCTTGGCGCGTCAACTGGTTGGACAATACCTGTAGAGCGAACACGGTGGCGCTGGACAGATCACAGTTTACTCTGAGCCCAACGACTCCTTGACCTTACCATCCTTCACATGGGTGATGCGACAGAAGATCCAATCGATCTAAACGGCCAGCAAGTATGGTGTATAATCGGAGTTGGCGACCGACGCTGGGGAGGCCTGCATAAGCGCGAGAAACGCACGAATGCAATGAGCAGTGACCTTTTAGCGTGGGAGATGCGGAAAACAACAGCAACAAAAACAAGTGGCGACGACACGAGGCAGTGGGTGGCTGCACGACGCTGGAAGCCTACGCGAGGAACAGGCGATGCCTACACAAGGCTGGGTGTCTACACTAGCGTTGGGGACGCACGCCATAGAGCAACAAACAACCACATAAACATAAACTGTTGGGCGCGGAGCACGCCAGGGGCGGCGCCGGAGGCGCCGCCTGGGGGGGGGGGGCCAGCACGGATCCAAAAAATCCGTGCGGAGCGCCGAGAGTTTATGCTTATGGCGTTTATCCTTCTTCGACGCCAGGGGCGAGTGCAACACTGGCCGAATGGCATGAGCATGGGCAGCGAGCAGATGAGACGAGCGGTGACTGCACCCCCAGGTGACGCCGCCACCAGTGAGGGCGCGCCCGCTGCTGGCAGCCCACGAGGCGTGTGGAGCAGAGGGCAAAGACGGCAGAGAGGGCATCGAGCAGGGAGGGGGAGACGAGGAGACAGGAGGGCGAACAGACGAACGACGCAACGTCGGCAAACAAAACAGCAAAATGAACAAGCGGCGCCGACGCGAGTGCGGGAAGAGTGCCGGAGGAGCATGTGCCGACCCATGAGCTCTGTAGCCGCACGGAAGGAACAAGCCGTGGCTGCATGAGGGTGGACAGCAGTCCAAAATGGTCGATCGAATATCATCGTGATCACGAGAAGTCGCAAAAGGCAATCTTGTGGAATGCACCGAAAAATCCGTGGCCACACGGTCGTGGGGAACCCGTGCCAGGACCAAGGCGATCACTCAAGATGCAATGTGCGTGACAACATAACCTGGGCATCTCTGACAATCCGCTGCCCCAATTGCGCTACGCTGCCCCGAAATCTTTATACGACTCCCCGGTTGCCGTGGCTGCTGCTTCGCACCGCTCCGCGCGGCGTGAGCGTGCTCGGTGCTTTTCGGGCGAGCGAGGCTGTTGGCCTCCTTTACCGCAAA